TGGGGGGCGCCCTGACAGCTTTCTTCTTTTTGCCCCTTGCTTTCCCTCCTTCTCAGCATCCCCCCATTCTCTGAGGACTCCAGGGATGGCCTAAGGCTAACATTTATGCCACGAGCAACAAATCAGAGCAGTTTCAGGTCAACACATAGTAGGAAGACCCCCCCCCCACCGCCCAAACACAGGCTGGGAAGAGTCTGGGAGTGAGGTAGGGGGAGGAGGGGTTTTGCCCTCTCCCATCTGGGAGGGGTGGGGAAAGCCAGCCTGGTCATGTGTGGGGTTTGGGGTTCCCAGGGCAGCAGGATTGTTCCTCACTTCTGAGGTGAGGCCTGGGGAGCAACAGGGCCCACAGAGACCTCCACGCACCCAGCACCCAGCCAGTAAGACATAAGAAACTCCTTTAGAAGGGTCAAGACAGACAGGCTTGGGCAGCCAGGAGGGTCTCCATGAGCCCTATTGGGGTGAGACGGTCACCAGTGTCCCTGGAACAAACCAGGGGACCCCACTGCTGGGAAGGGACATGTGGCAGATGATGGATGGGCCCTGGACCAGAGAGAGGATTGGGAATCTCCACAGAAGCCAGTGTGGAGGTCCAGGAAGCCCCAGGAATGTGAATGCAGCACAGATGCTAGCACAGACACAGGGGTGCTCAGTGCCATTTGAGGCCTTGACCCTTCACAGACCCCTTCCCCATCTCAAGTGCAACCCTGGTAAGAAGATGGGAACTTGAAGCAACTGAGGAGATCTAGAATTGACCAAGAACACCCCGAATTGACTCCATATATACTGAATGTACTGTAATGGGGCTAAGGCAGAAATTGAATTCTGTTTTCGAAAACCCGAGAGCCATTTTGCACACTTGGGTTATGGCGCGGCAGACTGCCCAGTGCTTGGCACAGAGTTCTCAAGAAGAGTTTGGTGTCCCATCAAAGACTCTACTGAGTGTCTGCTCCATGTGGGGCTCTGTTCCAGGACTGGGAGCCTGAAGAGACCAGACAGCTGAGGTCCCAGCCCAGAGCTCTGACACTGGAGGAGGGGACCATCAATACACAAGTGAAAGTAACCCCATGAGCTCATTTCAGATGGTAGTGAGTGCTGCATAGCACGAGACCCAGGGATCACACCTCAAGACTGCTTCAGAGGGGACCTAGAGGGGCCTCTCTGAAGAGGGGACGCTGGGCTACGGAGAAGGAGCTGAAAGTGAAGGTCAGTGAGAAGCCATTCCAAGCCAGGTGCAAGGGGCGGCAGGTGGGACTTGGCTTACAGGAGAATAGTCAGACAGGGGCCCAGAGGGTGGCAGCTGGTGTTCTCAGGGGCATCAGCAGGGGAAGGCACAGGGGTCCCGCTCTTTATTCTCAGTGTGATGGGAAGTCAGGGGCAGGAGGAAGTGAAGTGGGTAAGAGACCTGATCTGATTTACTTCTTTTAAAGAATGGCTCCAGCAACAGGGGATGATCTGCAGAGAAGCACAGGGCAGGCTGCAGCCGCCTGACTGACTCAGTGTGCTCGCCAGCCTCGTGGCCTCACTACCCAGCAGGCTCCAGGGCTTCACAGACTCTGTTGGTCAATGCCACACAGCAGACGGTACGGGGACTTAGTCTGCTGGGAAGCAAAAGTTTCCAGCACGTCCTGGCTTCTTTTCTCTCTCTTCACTTTCCCTTAACTAACATTTCCTCTTGTCCCTTTACCAATTCTGAGTCCTTCTGTCCTTGATTTGCCTCTCTTAGTCTTCTCCCCACTCCCTCCCCACTGCTTCCCCCTCCCCATATCAAACACATGTGCTTTCTCTTCGAGGACCAAGCAAATATTTCTTCCCCACCTGCCGTATGCTAAGCATGTAATATCTATGTAGATACATACAGACACTTGTAATATTTATGACAATTGTCACAGGACTCCCTCAGTTGCAGAAACCCAAGCCACGTTGGCCTGGAGTGGATGGCTTCTGTAACTGAAAAGTTCATGTGTAGAACTTCAGGCATAGCTGGATCCAGGAGTGCAAACCATGTCCCTAGGACTTCATTATGTACTGAATGTTTGTGTCCCCCCTAAATTCATACATCGAAGCCTCAGCCCCCAATGTATTTGGAGATATAGGGTCTTTATGGAGATCATCAAGTTAAATGAGGTCACAAAGGTGGGCTTTGATCTAATAGGATCAGTGTCCTTATGAGAAGACACACAAGAGTGTGATCTCTCTCTCCCTGTGCCCACCACGCAAGGACACGGTGAAAAGGTGGCCATCTACAAGCCAAGACGAGAGGCCTCATAATGAAACCTTCCTTGCCAGCACCTCTATATTGGAGTTCCCAAGCTCCCAGAAACCGTGAGATATAAGTGTCTTGTTTGAGCCACCCGGTCCATGGCATTTTGTGGTGGCAGTCCAAGCTGAGTGAGACAGTTTCCGTTTCTTTCATCTCTCAGCTCTGCTTTCCTCTGAGATAGAGTCATTATCAAACAAGCCCATCCTTCAGCAGCTCCAAGCTACACACTCACCACTCCCCACTCTGGGGAGAGCCGGCTTCTCTTTGCCAACAGTTCCAACAAAGGTACCAGAACATAGTCTTGAGGGCCAGGCCTGGATCACCCACCCACACCTGACCCCAGAGGCCAGGGTCAGCCCTGCCTGAACAACAGAGAGACGAAGGTTTCCCAGTGAGAACTATGCAGGGGGAATATGAGGGCCAGGCAGAAACAGCAGAGCCCACCATGTTTGGGGTGAAGATGTGAAGGCTCAGAGAGCTGAGAGACTTTCCCGGGATCCCCAGAGCTGCCAAGGCTGCTGAGTCCTTGCCACCTCCCTCTGTCCCTGCAGCCTCCTCCAGGCATCTCCTATGACTAGCAGGTCACCCAGCTCCCCACCCCCCCGTACCCCGTCTCCTACCTCCCTCCTCATCATTGGCTACTATCAGTGTCACTCACCAGACAGGGACTCCCGGGGCTCAGGAAGATGGATGGCTCTGCTCACCCTCACTCAGCCCCTTTACTCCCCCAGAACCTATGAGAGACCAGATGGATGGGTCCAGAGGAGGGAGGATGGGGAGGGCCATCCGGGTCCAGCCAGAGTCCACCTGCACAGCTCAGGTGTGGGGGTCGCCCTGCCTTGCCGCCTCTGTGACCCCATGGGAGTCCACGGTCACTGTTCCGAATTAAGCTGCGGGTCGTGGTTATGAATATTCAGGCACTACCCCAAGTATGCCAAAACCACAACCACAACTGTATCTTCCTATTGAGTTCCTCTTTATTTCCAATCTCCGTTTTCTGCCCAACAGTAGAAAATAAGACCTGGTTAGTTTAGCGATTAGGGTTTAAACTCAGTTGATTCAGGGTCCCCTCTCCCCCATCTCCCTGTCGCCAAACTCCAGCAAATGTGGGTGGTGTCAGAACATGAGGGAGGGCAGTGACAAGTGGGTCATAGGTCCATGTTGACCCTTCTGGCACCCCCAAGACATACATGAGGACCTCTGGTTCTTGGCTGTCATCTCCCTTCAATGTTGGCAGCCGACAAGGTATCTGTGTCCCCATCTGGTCCCTGATTGTAAGGGCCAAGACAGTTTTGATGGTGGCCCCCTCTCATCACAACTTGGCCGCTCCCCCAGTGCTCTGAGGCTGGGACACTCACCGTGTCTCAGGCCTGTGCTTTGAGCCACCTCTCACCCCCTGTCTCCAGTCACCACACCTTATCAGGAAACAAAGCTCAGGTGTTCCCTCAATCAGATTCCCAACTGCCCCCAAGGCTAATCCTCCCCAGCCCCACTCCGGAGACTCGCCCCCCAACACACACACACAAGGGAGCCCAGCAGGTCCCAGCTCACCCTTCCACTCCCCATACTCCCCTTTCCCAGCCAGCTGGAATTTCTAACCTCATCTCCCTGTGACAAGGGCAAAAAACTCACTGGCAGATAGTGCTCCAGATTTATTGTTCATGATGGGACCGGGGCCTGTGGAGAAGGCACTACAGGCAGCACCAGCCCACACTGGGGAAGACTTCACAGTGTCACCCGCCCCAGGCTGGCTGGGGTGACACGACAACCCTGGGAGACAAGAACATATCTGATGATACTCTCCACGTGGGCACTTGGGGCGGCTGCCGTGGTGGTGCCTCTCTCTGGGCCAAGTCCCTCAGGGCGTCAGGACGCCTGGTGAGGAGCTCCTGGGAGAGGCCAGAAAGACTGTCCAGCCTGTCACAAAGAGGCCAAGATGACCTGGAAATCAAGAGCATGGGCTCGCAGTTGGTGACCATGGCCAAGGGGCTGAAACCGGAGCTGAAGGAGCCAGGCGTCCGGGCGTGCCTCTCAGGTGCTCTGTGTTTATGCCTTTGTGAAGTCCCAGAAATAACAAAGCTGTGCTCGGGGGACCCAAGAAAAAGGTTATGCACACGGGAGCCAGGAAATAAAAAGGGGCAGCACTTGCCACCGACCCCTGAAGGGTAGGTGGCAGGAACCAGACAGAAAGACCCCCAGAGAAAGTGAAATTTAGGATGCAGTGGTCCAGGCTTCAATCGTGGAAGCAGGAGCCCCTTGCAGGGGGTCCCAACTCAGAGGAAAGATTGCAGACTCCAGACAGTGTTCATTTGTCTGGTCATCTGGCCCCCTGCCAGGCTCCTGGACTCTAAGACCCTCAAGATACTGATTGCATTAGTCAAGTATCTTCTGGTTCCCAGTGGCCAAAGCCCCACTGTGACTATCTTAATCACATTTAAAAATTCACTGACTTACAACCGAAAGTCAGTCGGTGGCTGAGATGGCCACCGAGAGCTTCAGAGAAGTTTCATTTTATGTGTCAACTTGACTGGGTCACAGGGTGCCCAGGTATTTGGTCAAATGTTGTTCTGGGTGTGTCTGTGAGGTTTTTTCTGGATGACATTCTCATTCGAATTGGTAGACCGAGTAAAGCAGATTGCTCTCCTCGGTTTGGGTGGGCCTCACCCAATCTGTCGAAGGCCTGAAAAGAACAAAAAGGCTGACTCTCCCAAGTAAGAGAGAAATCCTCCTGCCTGACTACCTTTGAACTGGGACACTGGCTTTCTCCTGCCTTCAAAGTCAAACTGAACATTGGTTCCTCCCAAGTCTTGAGCCTGCTGGCCTTCGTACTGGAAAGACGCCATTGGCTCTCCTAGGTCTGCAGCTTGTCGACTCCCTCTGCAAATCTGGGGACTTCTCAGCCTCCATAATCATGTAAGCCAATTCTTTCTCTCTCTCTCTCTCTCTCTCTCTCTCTCTCTCTCTCTCCCCCTTGTTGGTTCTCTTTCTCTGGAGAACTCCTTTGAAGGAAGGAGGCTTCAAGCTCAGGTCAAGAAGTAGCTGAAGCTGCCTCACGTGGCCAGGGTCACACTGAGATGAAGCACACCCAGAGAGCAGAGCTGGGGATGCAGGAAAGCCCCACCTCTCTCCCTCAGATAAGCTCTTGGAGAGTCTGGAGCCCAGAGGTACACCGAGCTCTTGCCACCAGCTCCTGAAGTTGCCTCGAAAAGCAACTCCTCACACTAGGATGGCTGGAATCAAAAAGTCAGACAGTAACAAGTGCTGGCGAGAAATATGGAGAAATTGGAATTCTCGCACACTACTGGTGAGAATGGAAAGTGGTGCAGCTGCTTTAGAACGTCTGGAGGACCCTCACACGCAGAGTTACATATGACCCAGCAGGTTCACTCCTAGGCAGGCACCCACGAGAAAGGAAAACATACGTCCACACAGAAACATGTACACAAATGTTCATAGCACTATTCATAATAGTCAAAAATAGGTGGAAACAACCCAAATGTCCATCAACTGATGAATGGTCTGTCTATCCATGCAATAGAATGTTATTCAGCTACAGAAGGAATGAAGTTCCGATAGATGCTACAGCATGGATGAACCCTGAAAATATGATGTTAAGTGAAATAAGCCAGACACAAAGGCCACATAGTGTATGATTCCATTCACATGAAATGTCCAGAAATAGAGACCTATAGAGAAAGAAAGAAGATAAATGGTCGCCTAGGGTTGGAGAGACAATTTAGAATACTTTCATCACCTCAGAGGTGATGAAAGTGTTCTAAATTGACTGTGATGATGGTTACGTGTATCTGTGAATACACTAAAAACAACTGAATGGTACACTTTAAATGCGTGAAGTGTGTAGTATATAAATTATATCACAATAAAGCTGTTTTGGAAAAAAAAGAAAAAGTAACTGTTTCTTGTAATCTTTGCAATTTGACTCCCCAGAGAGTTCTGGAACCTGAGTCTTTGTCCCAGGATAGAGAGCCTGGTCCCTAACAGGCCACTGCCCCCATTCCTCTAACCACCCCTCCCACACCCCTGAGAGCTGGCCCCGAACGCCGTCCCTGAACAGGGGCCTCGGCCCATACCTGTGGGCCTGAGCTAAGTCTCCTACAGTCAGCTGGACCCTCGGGTCTCTGTGCTGCCTTCAGGGAGCCAGGGCCCCTGGAGGACCCGTGCTCGCCACACCCTGCCCTGTGTTGCCGCCATCCACAAACTCAACTTTGCCTTTTTCCTGAGCAATGCCGGCCGACTACCCTGCCACACAATGTCCTCGGATTCCTGCTCTCCAGCCCTTGCCTGTGGTCCCACCACCATGTCCAGGGTGATGTCTGTTGGCCCTTTGCCTGCCTCAGTGGAACCCTGCCCTCCACCCTGTGGGGCCATGCCTAGAGCTCTGGGGGTCCGGTCTTCCTCATCCATTCTGACGCCCTGTCCAACCAGCTCTTTGCTGCTCCCCTCTCTTCCGCCCACTTGGGCAGGAACCCAAGAGTGAACCTTCCTGCCCTTTCACTTGCAGTCACTGGGAGGCAGGTGGTGGTGGGGGCCGCTCTGAGCAGCTGGCTAGAGACCCTTTGGGGCAGCAAATGGGCAGCATCTCCTCCAACTGAAGATGCACACCCCTCCCCGCCAGCTTGTTCACTGCTCACCTGCCCTCAAGAAACTGGCCCAGGTGTCCAGGAAGAGGACAAGGATCCTTGCAGCATGCTCTGTGATTGTGAAAAGCGGGAAGCCACCCGAGTGCTCATCAAGGGGATATTGGGGAGCTGAAACACAGGTTCTTCACGGAAGGACCACATGGCAGTTCTAAGAAGCATGGAGACTCACCTGGATCTAGGCACACGGAGCTGGAAAATATTGAGTGCAAAATACAAGGGGCCAGATAGCAGCGGTTAAGAATGGGAGAAAAAAAATCCACTAAAGAGCACTACCTCTTTTAAGGTTTCTTTATATATTTGTAAAATCGAGAGGAAAAAAATCTTTATAGCAGTTACCTCTGGGGAAGGGGACGAAGGGGTGGGGCTGGGGCTGGTGGGCACAGGGGCTTTACCTGGAAGGTTCTAATTTTTTCAAAAAGAGAACAGATCCTTGTATGACATGTGTAATTTATCATAACTGAAGAAAGACAAAGAATTCCAACAGCCGGGCCACATGCCCCTGGTGCCAGCCTTGCTCCTGGCTCCCCAC